GGGCTGTGTGCTTCCCATGGTGTCACCTCATCACGTCTGGTTGTGTCTAAGGTGTTGCGACTGCTGGGCGGATTCCGGCGTTGTCAGCCTGATCCAGTCACGAGAAGGGTCCCCAGCTGGTTTAGCTGCCACTGCTGATCGTTGCATAGATGCGTCATTTCATTAGAAGTTGCAGGACCATAATGACACTCTAATTTTTATCATTCCTTCTGCACTTTTTAGCTGGATTTTACCAATTAAAAAAAAAAACAAAACTCCCTCATCAACTACTTGGTTTCTCTGAGGTATAGTGTAGACAGGAAAATAAGCATGGGTGTTTCTTGCTCTTTATTGCCAGGTTTCAAAATACCGAGTTGGCTGTGCCACCTCACATTTCATCCCCACCGCAGCCCTGGTTATACTGACCTTACAGGTGAGGCCCTGGAGCCTGGGAGACTTGCTGAGGGTCACGCAGCAAGGGGTGGAGCTGGGATGCCAGCTCGAGTCCCCAAAGCCAGTGACCTTTCCACAAAGGCCACAGCGTCTTCGCTCACTACCTGTGCTGTGACCACTGCTGTGAGTTATGGAAGCACTTGGTTACACTACAAAGGCAGAGCTTGATGTTTTAACTGAGGCTTTCTGGAAGCTGCCATAGTTTCGCTGTGTGTGTCTTGACTTCCCAACCAAACAGGGCGCTCCTGTGGGCAGGGCCACGCTAGACATCTTCAGTAGCCCCTGTGTCCCAGTGCAGGAATGAACTGTGGGACTGGCCTCCACTTTCTTGTCAAATTCTCCCCGTGGGAGCCTCCACCCTCTTACAGCTTTAACATGCCCGATGATTGCATGTTGCCATTTTCAGCCCTGACCAGTTCTGAGCACTGGCCTTGAATGCCTGCTCAGGCCTATCTGTTAGGCCAGCATTCTACAGGCTCCCCAGACTACCTGGCAAAAACCACACCGTGTCCCCACTGCTCAAACCCGCCTTTCCTCTCCTGGGCACACCATCTCAGTTCTGGCATCACTGTTCCTCACATTCCCCAGCTGGAAACTCAGCCATCTTGAACCCTCCCCCCATACACCCTGCCACCCACCCCTACATCTCAGGCCAAAGCAGATGCTGAGATGAAACTCTGGATGCAGGATGTTTATTAAGGATCAACTTCTGTGAGGGGAAGAGGGATTGGGCAGAGGGAGAAACTGGACGGTGATGCAGGTCTCACCAAACACCCACCAACCAGGCAGAGAGCTCTGGGGCTAGTGGTGCCCCCCGGAACATTCTCGCAGAGGGCTGAAATGGCTGGGCCTTTGTGGCCCCTCCACCTTGCTCACTTCCTAGATGCAGGCTGCCCTGGGGAAGGTTGACCCTTGGGTGAGGCAGCTCTCTGCGGGGAGGCAGACCATGAAGGCCTGACCACTGGAGGCCGTCCACCCCCTGCACTCCTGCAGCTGGGCAGCAAGGCCTTTCTGGAAGAAGAGGGTCTGAGCAGCGCATGTCACCGTCTACCACAACCCGTGTCCTCTGACTCTCAGAGATCTAGCAACTTTCCTCCAAATTGGACCCCTCCTAGCCACGGGCCTTGGCTTCTCCTGCCCAGTCTATGGCAGTGGCTCCACTGGCCACCTCCACCCCACCCCATCCAGCCTCCGTGATGTCCACACACAGGTCTGATCTTGTCACTTACTGGTGTATGAACACTGAGGGACCGCCATTGTGGAAATGAGACCACAGTTTCAGAAACTCTGAAATAAGGCTGTTACCACTTACTGAAGATCTGCACACAGGAAAAAATGAGGGGAGCAGCCTCCAGACATAACCAGCGAGGCTTTCACCCCAGTTCTCAACACGTGAGTTTCATGAGTTCATTTTGACCACGCGGCCTAGGGTCTGCCCCTTCCACAAATCATCCTGACATCCACAGGAAAACACCTTGTACTACAAGTATGTAAACTATGGTGTATGTTTGAAAAGGTTTTAAGTGCAGTGTGTATCTTGAAAAGGGAGGGAGCAACAGTAAACAAATATACATTGGAAAAGAGATTTAAATATACATTCTAAAAACAAGATTAAGGATTTTCAACCTTTTTGGAGGGAAAAAAAATTAAGAAAATTGAAAAAAAAGTCACAATTACCAAGGTAAAGCACTCTCTGAAAGGAGAGGCAGATATGCATTTCCAAAGAAGGAGTCTATCCTGTTCACTTTTTCCTTAGGAGACATTCAGTTTTTGGCCAGGTGTGTGTGGCTCACACCTGTAATCCCAGCACTTTGGGAGGCCAAGGCAGGAGGATCCCTTGATGCCAGGAGTTCAAGACCTGCCTGGGCTACACGGTGAGGCCCCATCACTACAAAAAATAAGAAAAATTAGCTGGGCATGGTGGCGCGTGCCTGTAGTCCCAGCTACTCAGGAGGCTGAGGCAGGAGGATCACTTGAGCCTGGGAGTTGGAGGCTGCAGTGAGCTATCATGACGTCACTGCACTCCAGCCTGGGTGACATAGCAAGACCCCATCACAAAAAAAAATTTTTTTTGATTATAGGGTGGGGAACAATTTCCAATGTCCCCTCTGCACCCTTCACCCCCCTTCCTGCCCCGCACCACAACTCTTCCCCTCCTTTCACACTTCTTGTGTTCCTGCCCACCACCGCTGTGAGCTTCTCAGACCCTTCTTCCCCTGCCTTCCCCGAGGAAAAACGAATCCCATAGTTCTTTGCACTGACCACACTCTGTTCCAGTGCTCGATGTCCCAGCCCCTGTCCCCCATTAGGCCCTCAGCTTCCGGGGACAGGAACAGCAGGCTCTCATCTCCGTGTCCTAGCAAACCACCTGGCACAGAACACACTCAAAAAATACTCACCGGTGAGTTGAGTGTTTGTGCTTACACAGAACCAATCCATGACAGCTTGTCTAACTTGAACGTTTTTGCCCTAAATTTCCCCCCAAAAAAGGAAATGGTATTGAATTTGAGAGATATATTTCAACATTTCAATTTTATTGTATTTAAGAACTTGCTTTTTTGTCTCAGAAAAAAAATGCAAAATTCATTTTTTTAAATTCATCCAAATAAGTGATTTAAGTTTCATGTGGTACAAAAGCCTCTCCCAAATGGAATGGATGGGATTATTTAAAAGCTTTTTCCTTCTTTTCTTTTTGTAACTTTACTTTTAGTTTTTTAGTACTTTATTTTTTAGAACAGCGTTTAAAGAAAACAGGTTTAGAGAAAACGTGAGCAGACAGTACAGAGAGTTCTCACATACCCCCTCCACGATTACTAACATCTTGCATCAGTGTGGTACACCTCAGACCACTGATGAACAGTATTGACACATTATTAACTAAAGCCCACAGTTTACATTAGGTCACGCTTTGTGTTGTACTTTCTGTGGGTTTTGACCAAAGCAGTGTCACGGATCCACCGCTACAGTATCATACAGAACAGTCCACTGCCCTAAAAATCCACCCCCCACCTCTTCATCCCTCCCTCCCTCTCACTGCCCGCAGCCGCTGGCTACCTCTGATCTTTCGTTACTGTCTCTACTGTTTTGCCTGTTCCAGAATGTCGTATCCTTTTAGTTTTGAATCAGTAATACACTTACACATTTGGAAAGTGAAAACAGTATAAAAACGTACCACTGAGAACTCCCTCTCCCGCCCCGTCCCAGTCCAACTGCTCCCCACTCTCCTCCTTCCCCAGGGAAGCCACTTGGTTTCTTAGCCTTTGTCTAGTTTTACTTATACAAATGTAAGCAAATATATTGTCTTATTTCCTTTTTTCCTTACGTAATTAGTAGCATACTATATACACTGACCTATATCTTGATTTTTTTTTTTACTTAATTTATCCTGGAGCTCTTTCCAGAATGATACATGGAAAGCGTCCTCATTCCTTTTTCACTGCTGAATAGTATTCCCTTGTGCGGGTGGACCACGCCCTAGCTTACCAGTCCCCTGTAGATGGTCACTTGGTTTATGTCCAATCTTTTCCTAGCTTTTTTTTTTCAAATAATGCAATAATAAATAACCTCATATATCTATTTTGTACATGTACAAGTTTATCTGTAGGATAAATTTCTAGAGGTGGGATTGCCGGACCAAGGGGTAAAGGTATTTGTAATTTGGATAGATAATGCCAGATCGCCATATTGTACCACTGAACCCCACCAGCCACGGGCGGCAGCTGAAGCCCCTTTCAGCTCAGTTTCGACTCTACCTCCTTTCCCATCTCAGGCCCAGTGGAGAACTTTGAGGGGAGCTTCTCTAAGATGTGGGCTCCTAAACTGGCCACAGCCAGCTGTGCCACAAGCAGGAGAGCTCAAATTAGACAGAAATAGCGTCCGGGCCGAACTTCTAGGTTATCCTGCACAGAAACATTCCCCACATTCTGGAAAACCACGGAGCTTCCAGAGCCACACTTCCCTGGAAACACACCCTCCTACTGATCGGCCGAGCCCCACAACAAGCCGTGCTTGCCTGGCACCTAAAAGCTGAGGGTCAGGCTGGCTGTGGGTCCGATGAGGTTGCCACTTGCCAAAGGTGCCAAATGGAATTTCCAAATAATTAAGACTAAACAAAATGAAAAGTTGAGTTTTCTATTCCCTCTAGCCACATTGCAAGTGCTCAATAGCTGCAGGTGGCTCTTGGCTACTCTAGTGGACAGCGTAGAAAACGGAAAGTTCCCACCGTTGCAGAAAGTTCCATCGCGTAGTGCTGCTCCAGAGAGGCAACCCTTCGTGTGGGGCTATTAAAAACGAGAAAAACGGCAACTAAATGCAATCTGTGACCTTGGACTGGATCCTGGTCCAGAAAAAGGACACGAATAGCTCAACTGGCAAAATGTGCATAAGATCGGAAGATTAGTTAATAGTATCAGTGTGAATTTCCTGGTTTTAAAAATTATACTGTAGTTACATAAGATGTTAATATTTGGGGAAGCTGTGTGAAGAGTATTCAGGAACTCTTTGCACCGTTTCTGCAACTTCTTTGTAGGTCTGAAATGATTTCAAAACAAAAAGTTTTTTAACTTTTTAAAAATGATAAAACAAGAGGGAAAAAATGAGAGTGTGTGCCTCCTGGAACTGTCAAAGTGTACAAATTAGCTTGTAAATAAAAGGCTGTAGAGTAAGCATGGCATTCTTACAAACCAGCGGGCGGGTTCCGGGCAGTCCGTTAGTAAGTGATGCAGGAGCCCGTTCCTCGGGTCAGGGTGGGAGGAACGCCGGGTTTGGCGCCTGACCCCACCACCTGAGTAGCAGTGCGACCTGGGCAAGCTGCTTCTCCTCCCTGGGCCTCAGCATTCTATCTGTAAAGATGCCCCCTTGCACCTCCAGGGACGGCTATGAGGCTCAAGATGAAGGAGGTGAAAGTGAGCTGAGAGCAGTGAAGGACCATCCCCGTGGGACGGGATTACCTAATGCAAACCCTGAAACAGGCCCCCTCGTGGAGAAGATTACTGTACACACACTGCCTGCTGGTCTCTGCGTGACTGTGCGCTTCAGTGGAAGCAACTGGGGACTGTTAACAGTGATTGTTTATAAGCTCTTAAACAATGGTCATCTTCTGTTCAGGTGGCCCCACACTCCCACGTCCCACATGCCCGAAGGTCTGGCCTCTCCAGTTACATGGCTGTGCACCTCCTGGGGGCAGCTGTGTCTGCACTTGCTTTCTTCCTGATGCTTTCTGCAAAAGACAAGAATACTATTGCTTCAAGTTGTGTAACCTCGGCCTCACCTAGAGTTTTTGGGTTTGGGTTTTTTTTTTAGAGATGGGTCTCGTTATGTTATGTTGAACTCCTGACTTCAAACGATCCTCCTGCCTGAGCCTCCTGAGTGGCTGGGACTATAGGCATGTGCCACTGCTCCCGGCAGAGGGCCGGTTGTATGTCTTAATCGCCTGCCAGAGTTTGTGTTAAAAGAAGATGTAACAACTATATTTAAGAAGAGTTTGGAAAAAAAAAAATGTACCTAGTTCCTCCACTCTGAAATGACTCTCTGCTTTCCCACCTTGCCTGTAGCCGCCGTGGGTTGACCACCACGCTGGGGCTTTCCTTTCCCTCCATAATACGCTCTACATGTTTTTCTTGTTGCCTCGTCACTAACGAAGCCTTCACAACTATTAGTGACTGCCTCACACCCCATCCTGTTGCTCCACAATGCACCATGTCATTGGACATTATGGTGTTTGAGGCTTTTTTGTCGTGAGTTGATTGTGTTTTTAATGAGGGATGAATACTAGAACCTTCTATCCTGCTTGCCCGGTTATGCCCTGAATCCTAAACCAGGCTTTGGGATGGCATAAGGTTGTGATGGCTTATTTGGCCAGATCTGACTGGTTCAACTCATATTAAGCCAGTTTGGGGCTCATATGTCTTAATGTTTGTGAAAAAGAAATCTGGAGGTTGTTCCAGCCCTATTCCAAACTGGAAAAAAGAAAATAAAGGTATAGAGGGCTGGCAAGGAAGAGATTATAGATAGCATCAGTGGCTTGGGAGCTGTGAAGGTCATAGGGTTCACTTCGGCCCAAATCCTCATTGTACTGATGGGGACACTGAGGCACTATGGTTTGCCCAAGACTGCATGGAAGAAGGAGGCAGGGCTAGGACTAGGAATCTGCAAGGCCAGCATCCCAGCAGCCTGGTCTGAGCAGGCCTCGGAGGGCCCTGCTGCATGTCAGCGAGGGCCACACAGCAACTGAGCAGGAGCCCTGCAGAGCATGCTCTTACCAGCCAGGTCCCTTCTGCCAATGGCCACGAGGCCCTCGAACAGCGCTTTGCTGGGGTTCTCACCAGCGATGGCCACGCCATGCAGCCAAATGAGCAGCATCCGGTGGCCGTGCTCCTGGTAGCTCCTGGTGCCTGAGAACGAGGAGGGGAGAGAGAGGAGAAGGAGCCTTCCAGGCCGCCTTACCGGAGCACATGTCTTGCCACCCTGTCCCGCCTCCTCAACATGCCCAGGTGGGAAAGAGGCCAAGGGCCTCTCAGGCCCTCCATGCTCCAGCAGAGGTCAGCCCAGAGACAGGGACGGGGAGCCTCCCAGATGGGGTGGGGGTTTGTGTCTCGGTTCCTGGAACCTCCCTAGCCCCAGACTTTCTCCTGAGCATCTACCATACACCCTGTTGGTGTCACTCTGCAGAGAGAAAGAATTGACATTTGTTAGGTACCACGATGCACACAACCGTACACTTCATCTCTTAGGCTGCTCACAATGACCTGTGCTTGCTCGCCAGTGGCCCTATTTCGCAGGTGAGAAAACAGCTCAGAGACAGAGCTGCACATGTTCTTTCCCTGCACCAGCGGTTCTCAGCTTGGCTGCTCAGTGGAAATTCCTGGGAAGCGTTAGAAAACACTGGCACGTGGAGCCCAACCACCCCCAGAGATTCTGATGTACTTGGATCTGGGTGCAGCCCAGGCATGCGATGGTTTTAAAGCTTCCCAGGTGATTCTAACATAGAACCGTGTTTGGAACATAATTGCCCACACTATTCAGTTCCCGGTGGTGGAGGTTAAGGTGTTATTAGGTCGGCCCTCCCTGCTGGGGACACGGATAGATGCTTTGCCACAACTATTGGGTCCACGTCAGTCTGCTCACTGCCTCTGACTGACAGAGTCAGTGTCGCTCTGGGCCCTCCGCAGGCACTTCCTCGTGTTGCTGCCACGTGGCGGCACTTTCGTTTGACCCAGTTTTCTTAAGGCCATTTATTAAATAGTCTTTGCCTGGGACTGCAAACTAGTGCAACCTCTGTGGAAAGCAATATGGAGATACCTCAAAGAGCTACAAGTAGATCTACCATTTGATCCAGCAATCCCATTACTGGGCATCTACCCAAAAGAACAAAAGACATTCTATAAAAAAGACATCTGCACTTGAAAGTTTATAGCGGCACAATTCACAATTGCAAAGATGTGGAAACAACCCAAGTGCCCATCGATACATGAGTGGATTAATAACATGTATACGTATACCATGGAGTACTATTCAGCTACAAGAAACAATGGTGATCTAGCACCTCTTGTATTCTCCTGGATAGAGCTGGAATCCATTCTACTAAGTGAAGTAACCCACGAATGGAAAAACAAGCACCACATGTACTCACCATCAAACTGGTATTAACTGATCAATGCCTAAGTGCACATATAGTAATAACATTCATCGGGTGTCAGGCAGATGGGAGGGGAGAGGAGGGGATGGGTGTATTCACACCTAATGGGTGCAGTGTGCACCGTCTGGGGGATGGACACGTTTGAAGCTCTGACTCAGGTGGGGCAAGGGCAATATACGTAACCTAAACATTTGTACCCCCGTAATATGCTGAAATTTTAAAAAATTAATTAAAAAAAACAAAATCAAGAAATAAATAAATAGTCTTTGCCCCTACTCCCAAAGTTTACAAGCGCTCCTTTATCGTATATGAAAGTTCTTGTCTGTACTAGTTTACTTTTGGACTCTCTGCTCTAGTCCACTGATCAATTTGCATATTTTGGTGTCAGATACCTATGCTGATTATTTTAGCTTCATAAAAGGTTGAGTCTGGCCGGGTTAGAGCCTCTTTACTTTTTTCCCCCAGAATATTCATTTATATCTTCTGTTTATTCTTTCAGAAAAATTATAAAATCCTTCAGTTGAGTTTCAAAAATGTATTTTGATTTGATCAAAATTGGATCAAAGTTTTAATCAAGTGGGGAAAAAATGGTATCTGATAATTTTTCTTGCCAGAAATAGAGAATGTCATTCCATTTATCCAAGTCATCTTTTATAGTTTAACTAATTGCTATTGTTTTACTCATATGTGTCGTTCATATTTCTCTTTAAGATTTTCCAGATGAAACATACACATTATTGTAAATGGAATCTTTTTTTTTTTTTTTTTTTGAGACAGAATCTCACTCTTTTTGCCCAGGCTAGAGTGCCGTGGCGTCAGCATAGCTCACAGCAACCTCAAACTCCTGGGTTCAAGCG